CAGGAACCTGATGGTTCTTTGGGTTTGCAGGGATCTGCCCAGAGAATAGATGAAAGTAACAGGTACCAATATGAAAACTGCAGTGACTCACAAGAAACACTCCGTGCTTGCCACTTTGCTAAGTGGTTTGTTGAGTCCAACAGCTCAGCTGCATGGGTCCTGGGTTAGTCTCCTGAATGTCTTTGCCGCTACTTTGGTGAGTGTTGTCGTCATTTTACCTTGTGGTGGCCAAGCCCCTAAATGCACTATTAGGTTATGCAGTATAATTTTTCTGGGAAGATGGGTTAAAAAGTCACAGTGAAGTTAAAAATACCTATTGCATTGTCCAGGATTATGAACCCAGGTCTCCCACATGGGAGGCAGGAAGTCTACCACTGAACTACCAATGCCTCTCCCTACCAACTGCCCGGAGGATAGCTGAAAAGAGTATCCAGAAAGACTTAGAAACTTGCAAGTGGCTTTTTCAAGTGTCGACTAAAAGCTAACAAAGACATCCAAACCAAATGTTTTTATAGGAAACTTTTACTAGACAAAGTTATAAATATCAAAATAGCTCATTGGTCGGATCAAACTCTTAACTCTGAAAAAGGTCTTTCTACCTGCATTACAAACCCCTATAATAAAACATCAGAAATTCATTCATGTTTCTTTTCTCTAATCCTAAATCTTCAATTCTCAACCTCAAACTGCTGCCTTAGTGTCTGAGAAGGTCACCTAACTGATAGCTTAGGTAAGTAAAGTTCAAATCCAGGGAGGAAAAAATAAGCAGAAGTAGAATTAGAAGAAAGAGGAAATGAAAGGACAGAATCAAGGTAGAGATAATGAAGAAACAAAGGTTGGTATACTGAGTTAGTCTTTTGTCACTGTTTTTTTTTTGACAAAAGAGTAATGATCGGTCATATAATCATTATAATACTATTATTTGTCTGCTTGAAGATGTATAAAGCACTTGAAGGAAATGTGATATAAAAAGATTAATAATGCTTGCAGTCAATATTGTTAGGGAGATTCCAATTTCCTAAGTTAACATGCTTTGATGTATTAGCTATTTAAGGAGTAGACTAGATTAAGGAAATATTGACGGTCAAAATATTAACATATTAGTCTTTTGATGAAGTTCAAATAGTAGAGAGATTTCTTTCCTCAATTTTCCCTGGAGAGATTAAACTGAAGAGAAAAATCCAGGGTTTGTCCCACATGTTGGGTCTGGGAGTCATTATGACTTTTTCAAAGACAGGAGCTGTGTGTGACATGGAATCATGCTTCTTCTCTAGCTGAGAAGCCAAGCTAGGTCCAGGCTGAGTCATAAACTTGAGTCCAACAAGGAAATCACCCTTCACTTTGACCTCAAAGGGCTTTGGCTGTTCTCTGTTCTTTGCCCAACACCCAAGACACACATCAGCTCTGGCCAACAAACCTTAACATATTATCTGTATCAACCAGAGCTACATGTATTCCCAAATCTCCTTCTAAAATACAAACCTGTACTTTCTACTCTCACTTTCTAAATTTATAAAGACCTCATATGCATCTCAGAGTCACAGATGCTAAAACTCAACACACCAGTGAGTTCCCTGTCAGCATCATGTACCATCCTCTATCACAAAACCCAGTGATCAGACCCAAGCACAGCATCTCCCAAAGAGTAGTGCACTGTCCTGGGTGTTTCAACGATCACTAAAACCTGTTTCTACTCCTGCCTAGCACACTTAGGCTTGCAGACTACTACCTTCTCCTTCTGTCCTCACATGGTGGAGAGAGAGAGAGAGAGAGCACTTTGGTCTTTATTCCATTTTCTATAATGACACTGATCTCATCATGGAGATCCCATGGTCATGACCTCATCTAACCGGTGAGGACCACCATCCATCCTATTTGCCAAGCCAGATCTTTCTTTGGATAAACTCTCTCGTTTTCACAACACAAAAATTTCAGTTCAACTCAAAAAATAGTGTTTCAATTTATTGGATACTCCACAAGCTTACTGCCACTTTATTATCACACTTTTCATCTATCAGATCTTGTGTCCATTAACATACGCAGACCAAAAACTGGACTCCCAGCCAGGCGCAGTGGCTCACGCCTGTAATCCCAGCACTTTGGGAGGATGAGGCGAGCAGATCACAAGGTCAGAAGACTGAGACCATCCTGACTCAGTAGATGGGTGAAACCTGTCTCTACTAAAACTACAAAAAAAAAAAAAAAAAAAAAAAAAAAAAAAATCATCTATGGAACTTAAAATGTGGATTCATAGGCCTTAGCTCTACAGCTTTTTTAACAAGCACCTTATGGGATTCTGCTGTTGGTATTTCTCAGGTCTGCAGCAGGGATTGAATGTACAGCTAGTACAGCAGGGATTGAATGACTTCCCTATTAGACCCTGAGCTAGCCATACCATATATGCAATTTCATTTAAGCATCTGCTAACTCCACTACGTAAGTGTTATCATCCTTATTTTATGTAAAAGGAAACTGAAGCTCAAAGAAGTTAAGTGAATAAACTTGTTACAGCCATGTTTCCTTCCACTCAACCCTGGTATGAGTTTGTTGTGGAAAGAATTTATCTGAAATGTCTTGGTGAAAATTAGCTGTTTGGTCCACTTTATTTCTTCAACAAATACAAATGATTTATGTGGCAGGCACTTTTGTAGGCACTTGGGATATGGAATGAATAGGACAGACACAGTCTTGCTCTCAAGAAGGTTATCTCTATCATGTGAGCCAGATATAAAGCAAACAATTATCTAAGTACATTTTCATTGTAATAATAGTTCTGATTAGTGTTATTTATTTATTCTGTATTCCTAAGTCCCAATGGTTTGAAACTGACTGATGATAA